TTGGGTTGAGATCAGGATTTTGCGGAGGCCAATCCAAAACATCAATATTTTTATCTGAAAGCCAGCTTTTCACTAACCTTGAAGTGTGTTTAGGGTCATTATCGTGCTGGAAAATGTAATGGTCTGGCATATTCTCAAAGGAATATGTTTCCATTACATTCTCCAGAGTGTTTTTATATTGATGTTGGTCCATTATCCCTTGTACATGCACAATTGGGCCAACACCACGAGAGGAAAAGTCTCCCCAAACCATAACAGATCCGCCAACATGTTTTACTGTTTTCACAGTGTACCTGGGGCTTAACAGCGCCATGGTGGGAGGATCTTTTACATACGATTTTCCGTCGAACTGGATTAAACAGAACTAAGATTCGTCACTCCAGRGAACTCTATTCCAGTATTGGGGATTGTTCTTCAGCATTTCCTTTGCAAATCGCAATCGCTGCTTAATACATATTTTTTTGATACAAGCGGTTTTTTTTGCGCAATGCACCCACGAAGTTCCGACTCTTGTAAACGCCTTCTTATCGTCTGAGCTGAGATTTCTACATTAACTTCTTGTCGAACTTCAGCATTTATTGCGCTCGTAGTCATGAAAGGGTTGTTTATGATCGTTCTACAAATGATACGGTCTTCTATTGGATCGTTTTTTCGAGGTCTGCTCTTCTTGGTAGTGGTTTCAAATTTCTTTTTCTTTTTTTTTTATACAAATGAATAGTTCCAAATACCATTTTTTGGGGCAGGAAAACCTTTTCGCAATAGCTGACATTGACAATTTCTTTTTTTGCTATCACCTTACAATTAACTYTCTCATTTTGGGAGTACATGACTGTTTTTTGCCCATTCTAATAATTATTATAAAATGTTTTTAATTGAACATTGTTTGATTGAAGTATACACATTTTTTTCGCTAAGTTAGAAAAAATCCGAGAATTAATGAAAAAACTGCTCGTTTCTAATTACGTGGCCAGCAMAGTGCGCGTCTTAAAAAGAGTATACAGTGATTTGATTYTATTATTACGATTATTTGTAATCGAATACTGAACTAATATTGCTTGGATRTTATCTAAAAATACCAATTAATCTCGTATCTGTACCAATTAATTTAATTTTTATGCGTTTATCCTCATTAAGCATATTTGTAATTGTCTTGTTACATATAGTAAATATCACCAATCAGTGCTAACATCAGCAGAGTGTTTGCAATTAATTTAATAAACAATTAGAAGACCTAATTAAATATCTATCGAAAAAGGTATGCGAAAATRCAAATAATGAAGTGTAATATACGCTTGCTCATGCCCTGTAGGAAAGGTGATATCTTTTTTACTTTCTTTGTTAGAGGAATATTAATATCACTTTTACTTTTTTAGAGGAAAATTAATTTCCTTTTTWACTTTCTTATTTCTCATTGTTCAAAAAGCCGATATTTAAGGTTTTTTATTTCTGTTGATTTATATGCGAAATTTAAAATAAATTAGTTGAAATTATAAAATGTGAAATTTATTTTAGTTTCATTGGCATAATTTTTGCAATTCTTT